TCCATCTGCAAAAAAAAATGAAACAGTACCCATACCTCACACCGTACACAAAAACTAATTAAAAATGGATCAAAGACCTAAATATAAAGCCCAAAACTATAAAGTTCATAGAACAAAAAACAGGATCAATGCTAGAGGCCCTAATGCACAGCATTAAAAGGATACAAACCATAACCAACAACACACAAACTACAGAAGATAAGCTAGATAACTGAGATCTTCTAAAAATTAAACACTTATGCTCATCGAAAGTCTTCACCAAAAGAGTAAAAAGAGAACCTACAGACTCGGAAAAAATTTTTGGACGTTACAAGTCAGACAAAGGTCTAATCTCTAAATTCTACAAGAAAATCCAACACCCCTACAACAAAAAGACAAACAATCCAATTAAAAAATGTGAAAAGGAAGTGAACAAACACTTCACCAAAGAAGATATTCTAGCGGCCAACAGACAAATGAGGAAATGCTCACCATCACTAGCCTTTAGAGAAATGCAAATTAAAACCACAATGAGATACCATCTCACCCCGGCAGTACTGGCATGAGTTAAAAAAAACGAAAATAACAAATTTTTGAGAGGCTGCGGGGAAATTGAAACTCTTATGAACTGCTGGTGGGAATGCATAATGATACAGCCATTTTGGGAAATGATATGGTGCTTTCTTAGAAAGCTAGAAATAGAAATACCATACTTTCCAGCAATCCCATTCCTAGGAATATACTCTAGAGAAATAAGAGCAGTCACACGAATAGACATACGCACACCCATGTTCATTGCAGCATTGTTCACAATAGCAAAAAATGGAAACAACCTAGATGACCATCAACAGATGAATGGATAAACAAACTATGGTACATACACACAATGGAGTATTATGCAAAGATAAAGAACAATGATGAATTTGTGAAGCATCTCATAACATGGATAAAACTGGAGGACATTATGCTGAGTGAAATAAGTCAATCACAAAAGGACAAATATTGTATGAGACCTCTACTGTAAAAACTCATGGAAATGTTCACACACAAAAAGAAATAATCTTTTTTGTTTATGAGGGATGGGAGTGTTGGGGGGAATTAAACAGACAATAGATAACTGGTAACTTTGGTAAAGGGTAAGACAGTACACAATACTTGAGAAGCCAGCACAACTTGTACAAGGAAAGGTCATGCAAGCTCTATAGACACATCCAAACTCCCTGAAGGACTGAATTGCTAGGCGGAGGGCTGTGGGGACCACGGTCTTGGGAAACATCTAGCTTGATTGGTATAACACAGTTTATAAAGACAATGTTCTACATTCTACCTTGGGGTGTAGCGTCTGGGGTCTAAAAAGCCTGTGAGCAGCAGTCTAAGATACTCAACTGGTCTCACCCCTTCAGGAGCAAGTGAGAATGAAGAGAACAGGACACAAAGAAGAGATTAGTCCAAAAAACTAATGGATCACAGCTACCATGGCGTCTACCAAACTGAGTCCAATACAACTAGATGGTGCCCGGCTACCACCACTGACTACTCTGACCGGGATCACAACAGAGGATCTTTGACAGAGCTGGAGAAGGATGTAGAACAAAATTCTAACTCACAAAAAAGACCAGATTTACTGGCCTGACAGACTGGAGAAACCCAGAGAGTATGGCCCCCAGACTCTCTTTTAGATCAGTGGTGAAGTCACTCCCGAGGTATACGGTTCAGCCAGGGATTGGACAGCCCCATAAAACAGAACGGGACTAACGAGGCACAGCAGTCCAGGGACAAGAAGAAGGCAGGAGGGGACAGGAAATGTTGGTGATAAGGAACCCAAGGTTGAGAAGGGACAGTGCTGACATGTCGTGGGGTTGTTAACCATTGTCATAGGACAATATGTGTACTGTTTAATAAGAAACCTTTTGTTCTGTAAACATTCATCTAAAGTACAAAAAAAGAATTATCTATGTGAGATCAAACTGACAACAGCAACTCAAAGGTTTGATGGGAAGCCTAGGGGGTAGTGAGTTGAAGATAATGGTGACAGAATAATTTGGAAAAGGATAGTGAGAATAGCAGAATAACTGGAAGAATGTAGTCGATGTCACTGAATTGTACATGTAGAAATTTTTGAAATGGTGTATCTTTGGCTATGTATATTTTCACAAAAAAAAAAAAAAAGGTCCTCCAAGGTTGAGAAGGGAGAAGAGTATTGACATGTAGTGGGGTTGTTAACCAATGTCATAAAACCATGTATACTGACGGTTTAATGAGAAACTGTTCTGTAAACCTTTATCTAAAGTACAATAAAAAAGTTAAAAAAAAAGACTACCCAGCCTAGCCAGTAAGGATTAGTAGAGATGCTATTCAGCGACCCCAGATTCATAAAAATAATTAATTAAGTTTTGGTGTTGCTGCTTGCAATTATTTTGGCATAAAATAGCTGATACCGAGTTCTTCTTCATAGAGTCCGGTTTCTCATATTATTCTCAGATTATTAATATATATATATATATATGTTTTAAATTTTTTGAAGAACATAAACTATGAAAGCTCATTCAAGAAAAAAATAATCTTAAGAACCCTATTAATGAAATTAAATTCGTAGATGAAAATCTTCCCACAAATAAAACTCCAATCCAGGTATCTTAACTGGTGAACTCTACCAACTATTTAAGGAAGAAATAATAACAATTTTACAGAAACTCTTCCAGAAAAATAGAAGAGGAAGGATCACTTCTCAACTCATTTTATGAAGTCAAGATTAGCCCAATACCAAAACCAGACAATAGCATTAAAAGGAAAGAAAGTTGTAAACAAATATCTCTCATGAACATACATATTTTGCATTCCTGGTATAAACACAATTTGGTCTTGATACATTATCCTCCACATATATTGACATACATGACTATTGCAATAAATATAGAAAAATCATCCATTTAAAAAAAAAACTTTCAGAAACTAGAAGGTAAATTTTCTCAATGTGATAAAACACATTTACAAAGAGTATCTCATATTTAATAATAAAGAATTAAATTGTATCCCCTTAGATTGGGAACAATGTAAAGTGTTCATTCTTACTACTTCTGAAAATTCACCATTGTATTAGAGATACTAGCCAGTCTAATAAGGCAAAGGAAAGAAAATAAAGATACACAGATTTGAAAAGAAGAAATAACATTGTCTTTATCTACAGACAATATAAGGAATCTACAAAAATATCACTTTCTATCAAAGCACAGAAGATGAATATGTGTACTTCTATATACTAGCAAATAATAATGCAAGTTAAAAATTTAAAAATACTCTATAATAGTATAAAAAATATGACATACTAAGGGATACATGTAACAGAATACGTGCATGACCTATACACTGAAAACTAAGCATTGTGAGAGAAATCACAGAAGACCTAAATAAATAGAGAGATATAACATGTTCATGGACTGTAACACTCAATATTGTTGGATGTCAATTTACCCCAAACTGATCTTTTGAATCAATAAAATTCCAATCAAAATTCTAGCTTTCTCTTTTTGTAGAAATTGATCAGATGATTCTAAAAATGTATATGGAAATGCAAAAGGTCTAGAACTTACAAAACAGTTTTGAGAAAAGAAGAACAATTTCAAGGACTAAAAATTTCAATACATATTATAAAGCTACATTATTCAAGATAGTATAATACTGGTGAAAGAATAGACATACATTAGTGAAACAGAATAGAGTTTGGAAACAGATTCACACATATGTGGTTAATTAATTTTCCAACAAGGTGCCATGTTACTCAATGGGGAAAAGATAGTCTTTACAAAAAATGGTTATGGAACCTCAACACTTACTTCACACAACATACAAAAAAGAACTCAAACATATGTCATAAACCTTAAAGTGAAATTTTTAGAAGAGAAGAAATGATTTGTGACCTTGGGTTTAAAAAAAAAAACAGATTTATTAGGCTAAAAAACATAAAAGAAAAAAATATTTTGGACTGCATTAAAAACAAAAAAACCCTTCTGAGCCTCCAAAAATACTATTAAAAAAAATAAAGAGGCAAGCTACAGACTTGAAGAAAGTATTTGCAAAATATATATCAGATAAAGGATTTGTATCAGTAATATATAAAGAACTTCTGCAACTTAGTAAGATAAAAAATTCTGATTTTAAAAAACGAGTAAATATTCAAACAAATACATAAATAAATTGCAAACAAGCACATAAAAAGATCTTCAACTTGTTAGTTATTAGTTAAATGCAAGTTAAAACCACAATGAGAATAAAAGAGGATACCCATAATGTGACACCACTACACACCTACCAGAATGGCTAAAATTAAAAAGAACTGACATTACTCAGTGTTGGTGAGCACCTGGAACTATCACATATTACCGATGAAATGTAAAATGGTACAGTAACTTTGACAAATATTTTGGTAGTTACTTATAAAGTTAAACATACATCTACCATAGGACCCATCCATTCCACTTCTTGGTATTTACCCAAAAGAATTGCAGACGTATGTTGACAACAAAGTCTTGTACTACAATGTTCATGGTAAACTTATTTATAATAGCCAAAAATGGAATAATACAAATGTCCATCAATTGGTGAGTAGATACATAAATTGTAATTTATCCATAACATAGACTACTCAGTAATTAAAAGAAACAAATTATTGATACATGCAGCAACATTGAAGAATCTCAAAAACATTAAGCTCATGAAAGAAGCCATACCCCAAATGCTATAGGCTCTATGATTTCATTCATATAATTTTCTGGAAAAAAGCAAAGCTATACAGTCAGAAATCAGATCAGTGGGTGCTATATGCTGAGTTTGGGGGTTAATTTGCTCCAAAGCGGCAGGAGGAAACTTTTTTGAGGAAGTGGAAATGTTCTATATCTTTATTGTGGGTGGTAGTTATACATTTGTGTATGTTTGTCAAAACGTATCAAACTGTACTTTTACAATGAGTGAATTTTATTTCATGTAATTATACTACAATAAAGCTGATTAAAAAATAAAAATTAGTGTTTGCTTTGGGAGCACATATAGTAAAACTGGAACGATACAGAGATTAGCATGGCCCCTGCACAAGGATGACACGGAAATTTGTGAAGCGTCCTATATTTTTTAAGCCAGGAACCGAGGGTAGGCACAGGTCCTTTGCCTAGACACAGGCATAAGGGATCCACAGACTTTCAGTGCCTTTCCCCCTGAATAGATTGCTGTGGGCCCATTTAAACAGGGTAGGCCCTCATTAACGCAGTACATCAGGGTATATACCTGAACTCTAACTTCAACTGTATCAGCTGTGAAATGGCAGTTTCATGATATTTAACACTGCTCTGCCCATTAAGGAATGTCTTCACCTATCCACATGAGGGGCCTGAGGATTGGTGGCTCCACACACGCCACCTAGCCACCTACAATAGGGGCCCATGAATAAGAGGTGCCCCACAGTCCTTGGAGCCAACAGCTTTGGAGTCTCATAGTCTGGATGCAAAACCCACTGACCTACCCACTCTAGGGACCAGGGACACCCCTTCCTACTGGACACTTGGGGGCAGTGGTCAGGCCCTTGCCTTGCTCAGAGTGTGTCCCCTTGCTGCAGTCAGATGCCTGTGCCTACACCAATCACCCATGCCTGTCTAGGACTGTAGGTGAGAGCCTGCACCACACATTTGGTGGCTATCTACCTGGGCACCTGAGCTGAATCCATACAGGAGGAGTGGGCAGACTCCTGAGCTAACATACCTAGTAACATATCTAACCACCTGATGACAGGACATCCGAGCTTCAAAGATGCCAATAATCAAACTAGCTCACACTAGCAGCCTATTTGGGCATATCAAAACAAAACAAGAAGCTAGGACACAGTAAGCAAACATAAAATAAATAAATATAATAACTTACTGATGGCTCAGAGACAACAGTCAGTATCATATCACATAAAGAGGCAGTCCATGATGGCTTCAAAAAGCTCACAAGATAAAGAACCTAGAAATTTTCCACAAGAGGAAAATTTCTTGGAATTACTGGAGGTAGAATACAAAAGATTAATATACAGAACTCTTCAAGAGATTAGGAAGGAACTTAACCAAAACACAGAACACGCAATAGAGGAAATTAAAATGATTAGAGAATAGCATAATGACAAATTTAACAGGTTGCAAGAATCCATAGAAAGACAGCACTCAGAAATCCAGAAGATTAACAATAAAATGTCAGAATTAGACAACTCAATAGAAAGTCATAGAAGCAGAATTGAGGCAATGGAATTCAGAATTAGTGATATTGAAGATAAAGCACTTGACACCAACTTATATGAGAAAAAATCAGATAAAAGGATTTAAAAAAAACGAAGAAACTCTAAGAATTATGCCGGAATCTATCAACAGGAAAAACCTACGAGTGATTGGAGTACCAGAAAGGGGGGATAACAGAACAGACAGAGAGAATTGTTGAAGATTTGTTGGCAGAAAACTTCCCTGATATCATGAAAGATGACAAGATATCTATCCACTATGCTCATCGAATACCACATAAGGTAGATTCCGAAAGAAATTCACCAAGACATATCATAATCAAACTTGCCAGAACCAAAGATAAAGAGAGACTTTTAAGAGTGGCTAGGGATAAACAAAAAGTCATCTACAAGGGAAAGTCAATAAGAATAACCTCGGACAACTCAGCAGAAACCATGTAGGCAAGAAAGCAATAGGATGACATATATAAAGCCTTGAAGGAAAAAAAAAACTGCTAGCCAAGAATTATATATCCAGCAAAACTGTCTCTCAAATACGATGGCGAAATTAGGGCATTTCCAGATAAACAGAAGTTGAGGGAATCTACAAACACCAAACCAAAATGACAAGAAATATTAACGGGAGTCCTCCAGTTAGAAAATAAAAAACATTAGATAAAAACTCAAGACTAGATCACAAGACAGAGCAACCAGATATCAACCCAGATAGGGAAGTCACAAAAATAAACCAATGCTAAAACATTGAAAATAAGGAAACAGATGTCAATATGTAAAAGATGACAACATTAAAACAAAAAAAGGGACTTAAAAAATGTAGACATAGATCTTTCATATGGAGAGGAAGTCAAGGAGATAAAAAGAAATAAAACACTGGTATAAACTGAGACAAATACGGATAAATATTAAGGTAACCACAAAGGAAACTAACAATCCTACAAGTCAAAATAAGAAACTAGCAAAATATAAAGACTCAGCAAACACAAAATCAACAACAATGAAAAAGATGAAAAGATAACACATAAAGAAAAATGACTCAGCACAGAAAGTTAAAAAATTAAGTGGAACACACACACAAAAAAGACATCAAAATGAGAGCACTAAAATCATACCTATCAATAATTACACTGAATGTAAATAGACTAAATGCACCAATAAAGAGACAGAGAGTGGCAGATTGGATTAAAAAACACAAACCGTCTGTATGCTGCCTACAAGAGCCATGCCTTAGACTTAAAAAGACAAACAAACTAAAACTCAAAGGATGGAAAAATCAAACAACACTCAAAAAAGAGCAGGAGTGGCAATATTAATCTCTGACAAAATAGACTTTAAAGTAAAATCCACCACTAAGGATAAGGAAGGCTGCTATATAATGATTAAAGGGTCAATAAACCAGGAGGACATAACAATCATAAATATTTAGGTACGCAATGAGAGGGCTCCAAAACATATACAACAAACTCTAACAGCATTGAAAACAGAGATAGACAGCTCCACAATAGTAGTAGCAGATTTCAGCACACCAGTTTCAGTGAAGGACAGAACATCCAGAAAGAAGCTCAACAAAGATATGGAAGATCTAAATGCTACAAATCAACCAACTTGATCTCATAGACATATACAGAACACTCCACCCAAAAGCAGCCAAGTATACTTTCTTTTCCAATGCACACCGAACATTCTGCAGAATAGACCACATATTAGCCCATACAGCAAATCTTAACAAAATCCAAACCATTGAAACATTACAAAGCATCTTTTCTGACCATAAAGCCATTAAAGTAGAAATTAATAACAGAAAAAGAAAGGAAAAAAAAATCAAACACATGGAAACTGAACAACACCTTGCTCAAAAACTACTGGGTTATAGAAGAAATTAAGGACTGAATAAAGAAATTCATAGAATCAAACAAGAATGAAAATGCATCTTACCAGAATCTTTGGGACACAGCAAAAGCTGTGCTCAGAGGTCAGTTTATAGCAATAAATGCACACATCCAAAAAGAAGAAAGGACTGTAATCAACACATTAACCCTGCAACTGGAACAAGTAGAAAGAGAGAAGCAAAAGAAGATCTTGGGTGCCAGAAGAAAGGAAATAATAATAATTAGAGCAGAATTAAATGAAACATAGAATAGAAAAACAATTGAAAGAGTTAATAAGACCAAAACCTGGTTCTTTGAAAAGATCAAAAAACTGATAAATCATTGGGCAAACTGACAAATGAAAAACAGGAGAGGAAACGAATAACCAGTATAAGAAAGGAGATGGATGATATCACAACAGACACAACTGAAATTAAAGAATCATAACAGAATACTATGAAAAATTGTACTCTAACAAATTTGAAAACCTAGAGGAAATAGACAAATTTCTAGAAACTCACTACCTACCTAAACTAACACAGAGTTAGAATAAATCCATAACAAAAGAAGAGATTGAAAAGGTAATTTAAAAACTCCCAACAACAACAACAACAAAAAAAGCCCT